GGCTGGAAGGAGATGTAAAATTGAGCAGACAATAACCTCCTGCCACAAAAGAAGATGTTTTGGTTTTCCCTCTCACTGACTGCTTTGGATCCAAATTAACACCCAGGAGATCTCGTCATTGGAACATGCTTGAGTAAAAGATGTGGTCATTTATTCCATATAGGGAGGGGGCAGCTCTCCCCAGTAAGAATCCCACTCATTCTGACTCGGAAAGCATCTCCTCCATCCAGCTAAGGAGATCCAAGAGAAACAAAGTTTGGAAGTGTCGATAAAATTCAGCACAAAACAGCCCAATCAGATTCCTGTCATGGGAAAAAGGAAGTGTACCGAGACTTTGGCAGTTGGTGCACTCTGTTGGGAAGATTAGAGAAAGCTTTATCATACTGTTGAATTTGCAATAGCTACAAGGAACCATTTGTTACCAACAGTTGGTGCTTTAAATCTTCCAATCTTCCAATCCTTAAAAGCAACGTTCAATCAGAGATACTGGTCAGAGATACCGGATAAAGTAAAACTGGCAATCTGCAAAAGAACTGAAATCTAAATGAAAGCACTGATTAGAAACCAGGGTAATAACCCAGAATTTGTCAATTCTGATCCCAACCCAGTAAGTATGATTGAGTTTAAAAAAACATTTGCGGACTAACACTAGAACCAGTAGAAAGCTGTGTTCTCAGATTTTGGAATCATGGATCAGTTGGTATCTAGGCACATTTACGTATAGCCAAAATTCATCATAGACAGACCATGGTGCAGTGGTGATATCACTGCAGCAGTAATCCAGAGACCCCAGGTTAATGTTCTGGGTATTTGAGTTCAAATCTCACTGATTTAAATTCAATTAATAAATAAATATGGAAGTAAAAACTTGATTCAGCATTGGTGACCACAAAGTATCATTAATAGTTGTTAAAAAAAAAATCTGGTTCACTAATGTCCTTTGGGGAAGGGAATTTACTGTTTTTACCTCATCAAGTGACTTTAGACCCACAGTATTGTGGTAGACTCTAACTACGCTTTGAAAGGCCTTGCAAGACACTCAGCTCAAGGACAATTCCAGTGATAACCGCATCCCATGACAGAGTTTAAAAAATAAATTTTTAAAAATAGCACAGGTCTGTTTTGGGGAATTAAAATGTGAAGTGAAAGTTGTTAGAGGCGAACACAGTTTCATGAGGAGCCACATCACTCTTATTGCCTTTCCAGATTTACAACCTTCTCAAATGTTAAAAATACCCTGCATGTGATATAATAAAATCCCTTATGTGAAACAGGAGGGAAAAATAAAGAAAGGAACAATTGGCTTAGGCAGTTTGTCAGCTCATCTTTCAAATTATCTGGGACAGCTCAGAAAGGTTTTGGAGGCATTGCAGGAAATCCTAGCACAATCACACCTGGGAGTTTACACAATTGGACTGTCAAATTATACCATATGTACTTAGAAGCAAGCCATTTGGCCCATCAGGTCCACACTGACCAACTGAAGAGCATCCCACCCAAACCCACTCTCATCACCTTCTATTTCCCATGGCAAATCCATCCAGCTTGCATATCCCTGGACACTGGGCAATTTAGCACGGCCAATCTACCTAACCTGCACATCTTTGGACTGTGGGAGGAAACGGGAGCACCCGGAGGAAACCCACGCAGACATGGGGAGAACATGCAAACTCCATACAGCCAGTCACCTGATGGTAGAATCAAACGAGGATGTGTGCTGTGAGACAGCAGTGCTAACCACTGAGGCAGCATGGTGGCTCAGTGTTAGCACTGGAGCCTCATAGCACTACAGACCAAATTCCACTCTTGGGTGAACTGTGTGGGATAGGGTTGGAGGTGGAGTTTGGGTGGGATACTCTTTGGAGGTTTGGTGCAGACACGATAGGCCGAATGGCCTCTTTCTGCAAAGAAGAGAAAATGTACTTGTATTAGAGTTGGGCTTTTGAGACCAAATGTTGAGGCAGGAAAACGCAGGTGGTGGTGGGGCAGGGGGCAACATTGGGTTAAGGAGGGTCGAACTTTACACAAGTGATACTTTTGAAGGGGGATGTCTATTCTGGATCTTTGGAACTGCTAAATTGCCCATAGTGTCTTAGCCATGGGAAATGCAGGGTTACAGGGAAAGGGTAGGGTTATGGGACTGGGTGGGATGCTTGTCGAAGGGTTGGTGTGGACTTGTTGGGCCGAATGGCCTGTTTCCACAATGTAGGGATTCTATGATTCTATGCTGAAATGTTGATATTGATCTGACTCTTGTTGCTGTCCGTGGTTCTGACTTGAGCAGGTAGCGACTGTTCCAGACAATAAACTAATATCTCCAATGTTTAAATGGGAAACAAACAATTGTGAAAAATGACTCATTGAATTGTCCCCACGAACAACACCCACAAGCCTAGCATGCGGGATTTGAAAAATAAGGGCTTCTGTGGGTTTTCGATAGAACCTTCCAAACACAGGACCACTACCATCCAGAAGGACATGGGCAACAGATATATGGGAACACCATCACTTGTAAATTCCCTTCCAAGCCACTCACCATCCTGACTTGGAAATATGTCACTATTCCTCCTCAGTGTCATCGGGTCAAAATCCTACAACTTCCTCCCTAACTGCATTGTGGGTATACCAACATGAAATGGGCTATAGCAGTTCAAGAAGACAACTCACCACCAACTTCTCAAGTGACTCCTACATCCCACAAATGAATTGAAAAAAAAAGGTCTGGGGTCAATTTATATGTGAGGTCAATTATTACTTGAAGATACACACTACTTCAGATCCAACATAGCTTCACGGTTTTATGCTTTTAAATCTTTACTCATTGGACAAGATTGTATTTTAGACCAAGAAAAAACAATCATCTTTAGGTCCCCACTAAGTGTTGTACTGGTGGTTGAATTATTCGAACTTTTCACTCCAGTTGTGAAATGGATTTCTTACTTTCAGCCAGGTTGGTGTGGAGAGTGGGCACAATTTAAAGACTGTGGTCCAAGTGGCCATCAGAGGATAGTCTGAAACTTTGAAATTGAGGGTGGGGTGGGAATGGAGGAGGGTGTACTGAGCTCCTTTAGAAAATAGCTCCTTTTATAAATGGACCGGTAGATCAACATAATCCATAAGACCGTAAGAAATAGAAACAGGAGTAGGCTATTCAGCATCTCGAGCCTGCTCCGCCATTCAATAGGATCATGGCTGATCCGAGATTCCTCATATCCACTTTCCTGCATTTTTCCCATAACTCTTGATCAATAAGGGAATCAAGAATCTATCTGTCTCAGCCTGACATCTTCAGTCAAGATTTTGATGAACGGAAACATGAGAAATCAAAGCAGGAGTAAACCACACTACATTCAGGGAAGGAAATCTGCTGTCTATACCTATTTTGGATTGTCCATACCTATTTTGGATTAATTTGTGACTCCAGTGCCAGATTAATGGGGTGTTGATAATAAATGCCAATTCCCAAGAACTAACTGAAGAATAATGGAACATGTGAGAAAAATATAGATATTTCCTATTCCTTATTTACCAACAATGGCCAATTCCTATTATATGTGTACATCTTGCAGACCAAAATAAGTTCACTGACATTTATTACAAATGGTACAAGACAGTCACGCATGGTGCTTGTCAAACACTACTGAGTATGGGAGAGATTGTGCTTTCAGAAATTCTTCACATTTCCTTGCGGATTTCTGCTTAACCCAGACTGAATGTTTTGTGGCAGATTATCAAATTGTGAATGGAACTGTTTGTTTTAAATTGTAATGAAGCTGAGGACCATTGGTAATCATTTGAAACTTCAATAAACTGTGAATATTTGGATGTTACGCCATACAGTTGGAACAGGAGAACTACAAATCTCATTAATTCAAAATTTCGTGAACAATAACCAAATGAATATGAGATGGAAATTAGGGGATATTTTGGAAATGGAAATCCTCCAGGTTCTCCACCTGAAACTTCAACAAGAACTGCAGGGAAACAGAACACTCTACCATTCTATCCTCTTTCATGGTTTACCTGAAGGGATTTACCACTGCCCAGCTCTGAAGAATTTCAGGGTTTCTTTTATGCATTCAGGGGATGTGGCATCACTGGCTCAGCCAACATTTATTACCCATCCTTAGTTGCCTTTGAGAAGGTGGTGAATTGAACCTTCTTGAACCGCAACAGTCCATTTGGTGTAGGCAGCACCATAATGTCATTAACGAGGGATTTCCAGGATTCTGACCCAGCAACACTGGAGTAACAACAATATATGGATGGTGAGTGGCTTGGAGGGAAGTCGGCAGGTAGCAGTGTTTCTATGAATCTGCTGCACTTGTGCCTCTCGATGAAAGTGGTCATGAGTTGGAAGGTGTTGTCTTAGGAGCCTTGGTGAATTTCTGCAGAGCACCTTGTATATAGCACATACTGCTGCTACTGAGCATCAGTGATGGAGGGAGTTGATGCTTGTGGGTATGGTGCCAATCAAGCAGGTTGCTTTGTCCTGGATGGTGTCAAGTTTCTTGTGTGTTAATGAAGCTACACTCGTCCAGGTAAGTGGTGGAATATTCCATCACACTCCCAACTTGTGCCTCGTGGATGGCGGACAGGCTTTGGGGAGTGAAGAAGTGAGTTACTCACAGCAAGATGCCTAACTTCTGAACTGCTCTTATAGCCACATTATTTACATGGCTAGTACAGTTCAGTTTTTGGTCAATAGTCACTCCCAGGATGTTATAGTGGGGGATTCAGTGGTAGTAATGCCACTGAATGTCAAAAGACAATGGTTAGATTTTTGTTGGAGATGGTCATTGTTTCGGTATGTGTGCTTCCCACTTGTCACGGGTACAACTCCTAAGAGTTTCATCCTCTCCGAGTGAAAATATCCCTCCCCATTCTGGGTCAATTGGTTCATAGATAAAACATTTTGTAAAATTACACCAGTGAATTCATTTCATTGATTCTCAGAGGCACCCTGTGTTTTGTTACAATGCCAGAGGTTGAGCACTTACTGCTGCCAGACCGGCCTGCTGTTCTCGAACAACTGCACAACAACCAAAGAATCCAGTGACCAGCACGAGGCTACCAGCAAAGATGAGAATACCGGCAGAGACGGCAAACGTACTGGATGGAAGGAGGCTCAAGTAGTTTCTTTTCTCAGCCAACGTCCAAGTTCCAATGGTCATCACTCCAGCACCTGCCATCTAGAGACACATCAAGAAACATCCGTTACACAAACTTGTGCATCCGTGGCACAGCAAACATAGGAATACCACGTGACCACCATTCCCTGGTCAGTGAAACTAGAATCAAGGGTGACAGTCTCAGGATGTTTAGAATTGAGCTGAGGAAATATTTCTCCACTTGGAGGTTGGTCAGACTGTAGAACTTGCTACTACAGAGGCTGGGTTATTGAATATATTCAAGGAAGAAGAGGTTGATAAATTATTAAATAGTAAAGACATCAAGGCAATGAGAGAAAGTGGGAATATAGTGTTGAGGTAAAGGATCAGCCACGATAATATTGAATGGTGGAGCAGGCCCAAGGACTGAAGGGCCTACTCCTGCTCCTAATTTCTATGACCATCATCCACCAGAGTATCTCACCCCACATCTTCTGAAATCCCAGCCTTACTGACCCCTGGCGAGACCCTTACGCACTTATCAAGTGTCAGTCCGTTGCTGTTTGCCTCCTCAAGCTCCACAGGCCATCCCTGTGTGCCCCTTGTGGGGGCTGCTGGTACTAGGGAGATATTGGTTTCTGATTAGCTCGCAACTCCCTGAGACTGGACGGCGCCTCCAGTCTATTTGTGGCCGACTTTCTTTCATTGGCTGCAGGCAGCTTTCCTTTACCCAGGCTGCACTCCCCAAAACCCCCAGCCTTTTCTTTAGCATTGCTTCATAAACTCCTACCCAACCTGTTCCAGTCCAAAGAACTTTCTTGTTTATCTGCCCATGGTTTATCACCTCTGCTATCCCCCTAGTTAACTTCCACTCAGTATCACAAATGGCTAACCACATGAACCGTACAGACCCCATCCCCTTTAACTGTTATCTTATTTCTTCTGTGTTTCTGCCAATATTTTGGGATGTGATCCATGAAGATCCCAGTCATTTACAGTCATAGAATAACGCAGAGCAGGCCTATCGTGGCTTTATTAGCTCATGGGGCTATCCAGCTAATTTTGATCCACTGCCCTTACCCCGAAGCTCTTTAAAATATTTCCCTTCAAGGATTTGTTATGGAAATCATAGAAAATCACAGCACCGAAAGAGGCCATTCGGCCCACCTTGTCAGTGCCTGTCTAAACTCATTTTCCAGCTGTAGCCTTGTAAATTACATACGCACGTCCAAGTTTTCTTGAAATGTATTTGAGGGTTTCTGCCTCTACAAACAACCTCTCCATTAAGGAAAGCAGCGGAAAATCCTATCTCAGCCTCTTGTAATTGCAATCAAATCTTCTCTCATGCTTTGCTATCCCTAACAAATGAACCAGCTCAACCAAGCGTCCTGAACAGACAAAGGCTTCAGCCATGACCCAGGCCTGAAAGAGGAGGCGATGGTGGCATGGTGACGCTGTCCTAAGGCCAGGTAGGCTGACGGTTCAGGGGTTGCAGGTTCAAGTCCTGTCACAGCAGCTGATTGAATTGAAATTCAAGTAACAAAGACTGGAATTGAAAGCTAACAATGCTGACTCTGAAGCACGAAAACCCATCAATTTCCCTAAGTACCTTTATTGGGAAGGAAATCTGTCGCTGTTACCTGGTCTGGCCTACATGTGACTCCAGACCACATACCAATGTAGTTGATTGTTAATTGCCCTTTGAAATTATTGAAGAAGCATCTCAGTGCAAGGGGTAATTAGGGATGGGCAGGAAATGCTAACCTTGCCAGAAACTCCCACAAAATAATAAATTTCCTTTAAAAGGGTGCTGCACATTATTAAAGTTTCCACTCTCATTCTGATTCTTATTAATTTATCAACAATACATTTCTATAAATCTCCATTCCTGGCAACATTCTCATAAATCACCTCCGTACCCTCTGGCATGATGAAGGAAGAAGCTCAGGCATTGCGATTAATTTTGGAATGCCGCCCAATGTCACAAACTCAAAACAAAAATGCATACAACAATCTCACTCACACAGTTTTATTTTAAAAATTGGCTTCTCCAACCTGTAACTTATTTTTATCAAACTATCTTTTTGGAAGTTATGATTGAATCTGCTTGCACATGCTTCAGGCTGTGCATTCCAGATCAAAGAATGCGCTGTGCAAAAAATATTTTCTCTTCTCGCCTCTGGTTCTTTTACCAATTATCTTAAATCTGTGCCCTCAGATTACCAACCCTTCTGTCAGTCGAATCAGTTTTGCTTTACAAAATCAAAACCTTTCTTGACTTTGAACGTCTCTATCAAATATCCTCTCGACCTTCATCAATCAGGAGAAAGTGGATCTGCTTCACTAGCTTCTCCACATAACTAAAGCCCCTTAAAAGGAGGAGGCCATTCTGCCCCTCGAGCATATCCTAATGGGATCATGGCTGATCTGTGAACTAACGCTGTGTACCTAACTTTGCCTAATATTCCACAATATCTTTGGAGATCTGAACTCCTTCATCCTTAGTTTTAACATTAACAATCAATCCATTATCATTTGTCATTTGCAGATGAGAGTTCCACACATTCATCACTCTTGAATGTAGCTGTGCATTACTTAACCCCACTGCTGAAAGGTCTGGTTCCAATTTTTTAGACTGTGCCCTAGTCTCCACAGCTAGCAGTAATAATTTCTCTGTATCTACCATGTCTGTTCCTCTTAATATCTTGGAAAATTCCTTCAAGGACACCCCTTAACATTCTAAATTCTATGAAATACAATCCTGCTCTGTGTAATCTCTGATCATCATGTAACCCTAGATAAAACCAATGAAGTACAAGTGTAGATTATGCAATTTGCCCTCAAAATGTACTCTTTTACTCCTTGGTGCCATTCAGGTAAATCTGTGCTTCATCCCCTTTCAAAGCCAATATATCCTTCATAAAATGTAGTGCCCTGAACTTTACACACCTACTAAGTTTGTCCTAACCGGGGCAGGGTACAACTGAAACATATAACCTCTACCCATTTCTATTCTAGGTATATAGGCAGGCATTCCATTAGACTTCTTGGCTATTTTCTGGATGTATTTATGGTGTTTCAATGATCTAAAAATCTGATACCTTTCAAGTAAATTTCTTCTGCACCCTCATAATCATTCCTGAAGAGGGAGGAACCAAAATCAGACACAATGCTCCAACTGAAACCCTGCCAATGTTATGCACAGATTGGACATAACTTCTTTGCTTTTGTACTGATGCTTCTATTAATAAACCTAATGATCCCATATGCTTTTTAAACTGCCTTCTCAAATTGCCCTACCATTTTCAAGGATTCAAGACCATATTCCACCCCTTATCCCTCAGTTTGTGAACACCCGTTTCAAAATGTGCCATTTATTTTATATCGTGTCTTTCAACAAGGCTGTCAATAATGATGTAAATATAGTTCTTATGATTAAAACTATCAAAGGATAAAGCAAGAAAGTTGGCTGATCAGCCATAATGATATTGAATGGTGGCCTAGGTTAATCTATAATCATTAACCTATATCCAAATAAATATCCAATTCTGTCTCCTGAGGAACACTGTTTTGTGCTTCGCTCTAGTCTAACATTCATTACAGCCTCAAAAGATGCTGGAAATTCAAAACAAAACAGAAATGCAGGAAATACTCAGCTTATCCTGATAAAAAGTCATCAGCCTGAAATGTTAACTCTGTTCCTTACTACACACAAGCTGCCAAAACTGCTGAGTATTCCCAGCATTTTCTATTTTTCGTTTGTTTATCACTATTATCAGCATCTTGTCGTTCAGCCAATTTCATACAGTCATGGAGTCATACAGCACAGAAACAAAGCTGTCGGTCCAACCAGTCCATGTTGACCATAATCCCAAACTAAACTAGTCCCACCTGCCTGCACTTGGCCCATATCCCTCCAAATATTTCTTATTTGTGTACTTATCTAAAGATCTTTTAAACGTTGTAAGTGTAACTGCATCCACCACTTCCTCTGGAAGTTCATTCCACATATGAACCACTCTCTGTGTAAAAAGTTGCCCCCATGTCTTTCTTCTCTCACCTTAAAAATATGCCCCTTAGTCTTGAAATCCTTACTCTAGGGCAAAGACACCTGTTATTCACCTTATCTGTACCCCTCATGATTTTAAAAACCTCTGTAAGGTCAACCGTCCACCTCCTACGCTCTGGTGAAAAAAGTCCCAGCGTATCCAGCGCCCCTTATAACTCAAACCTTCCATTCCCGGCAACATCCTGGTAAATCTGTTCTGAATCTTCTCCAGCTTAAAAAATCCTTCCTATAACAGGGCAACCAGAACTGGACACAGTACTCCAGAAGAGGCCCCACCAACCTCCTGTACAAGCTGAACATAATGTCCCAACTCCTATTCTCAAAGGTCTGAGCCATGGAGCCAAGCATGCCAAATGCCTTCTTAACCACCCTGTCTCCACCATTGTCTCCATTGCTAGCACATCAATTGTATAATGTTTTATCCAACACCTTCTGACACATCAATTCCAATATCTTCATCAAGTCTCATATTTCACCAAGAAATGAATTCAGTCAACTTAGTCAAACATGATTTCGATTTTCTGACTTCTGCTTAGTAGTCCATATTTTCCAACTTACTACTAATTTTTTCTCAGATTACTCTCTAAACCTTTCTCCATCACCAATATTAGCCTGATTGGCATGTAGCTCTCAGTTTTATCTTACCCCCTTTCTTTAAACAAGGTTATAAAACTTGCAATCATCAAGCTCTTTGTATCATTCACATATCTGAAAAGGATGGGTACAATATAATGACCGTCTCCACTTTCTACCTTTTCTTCCTGACATTCCACCCAGATCAGGTAAATTTCTGGCTTTGAACACTGGAAACTTTTCAAGTAGCTTCCCTTCAGCCATAGTCGTACCTGAATAACATCCAGTAGTCGAAATTATCCAGGAATATTAACGTGTCTCAAATATTTGAGCAATAGGTTAAGAAAGCTATTTCATGTCTGCCCTGCAGTGGCTGCATGGGTTGTATTTTCTGCCAGCCAAAAATCCAAAAACAAATATTCTGCCTACAACACATTTGAGCATATCTGAATTTCAGAAGCAGTGCAGTGCTGGGCACATAGGCTGTACTTCCCAATGACTTGCTTGAGTTGTCTATTACAAGCAGAGTACTGAGTGTACTCAACCAGCCCATACTTGAAAAACTCAAGACAAGACAAGATGTCTACAGTTAGGTGTGATTCTGTGATTGGGAAGCACTTGCTGAACAATCCTGAGTGCATTAGTTGTGACATGCACAGCAACCCGTTCGCTCAAAGCAAAATGAACATGTTGCTTCATTTGTGAATTACCCAGGAGCTTAGGGAATCTATAGTTTCCCATTGTTGAAACTATCCGCTAATCACAGTTGACTCGCTAACCAGCAAGCATCCTTTCTCCTGTAGTATAAATTATTGGGATTATTTGAAAATTGACATTGTTGTATTTGGCCTGATGAGGGCAAGATGAAAAGCTTCAGTAACATATCTCTCTCTCTCTTCAGTAACATATCTCTCTCTCTCTTCAGTAATATTTTAGCTTTCCTTTTTCTATTCTTATTCAATCCAATATCATTACTGCCTTCTCTTTTACTGTGCTATTGACAGCAGCATTTTCTGTAGTGCAGACAGATGCAAAATACTCATTTAATACCTCAAGCATTCCCTCTCTCCATCTGTCTGCCTTCTATATGAATCATTTCTTCAGCACCATATGTCTTTGAATAACAAACCCTATTAATTATCTCACACCCAAATCTGGTGCTTTTACACCTCAAATCTATCTGCTGAAAGGGAGCTAAAGAAATGTTCTTCCTCAGCACCACTGCAGGCCCCTGGTCCCTCTACCTTTACAACATCTTAGCAGCACCTGAGAAGTATCTCATGGTGGTCGTTAGTTTACCCTACGGATAGACCAAACAATATTTTCACGTTTATGTTTCGAAGGTTATGGAAGTCCCTGGTGAGATCAGTAGTTATTGCCCATCTCTAATTGGCCTGGAACTGAGTGACTCGCTTGGTCGTTTCAGAGGGCAGTTAACAGTCTACTGCATTACTGTGGGTATGGGCTCACCTCTACGCCAGACCAGGTAAAGACAGCAGATTTCCTTCTCTAAAGGAAATTAGTGAACCAGATAGATTGGTAGATGATAGTTGCCACAGCTACATTACTCAGACTAATGTTCAATTCCAGATTTATTAATTGAATCTGAAATGAAACCTGCACCAGCTATCATGATGGAATTTTAAGCCTTGCCCCCAGAACATTAGCCAGGGCCACTGAATTACAAACCATAACATCATCACCATGCCACCATCTCTCCTTACCTACCAGTGACTATTGTCTGACTTTCAGGAGTTCCAATATTCTCTTTATTTACACTTGAATGCACCAAACACTAGTTATAACTCTCAGGTAGTCTTCCACTCCTTGAGTCTTGAAGTCTCAACAGCATGTCAATGTCAGAGTTACAGCTTCATGTATATCATCATCATCACCAACTTCTTCATTCTCATTGTATCGCAAGTGTTTCCCGGAATGTGTCCAGCCACCTTTCTTAGCGCGATTCAGCAGCTATCAGCACACTTACCCAGAAGAAGAAATTATAAAAAAACAGCAGGTACTTTAAGCAGATTGTCAGGCAGTCCTCTGAATCCTCTTTACATTTTTCTGTCATCATCTTTCACTGAAACGCAGACAAAGGAACATCACAAATCAACACATTATTCAAATGGAACCAATAAGAAATGTTCCCACTTTAATGCAACAGATGTACCCTAATATTGATCCATATCTCAGTTATCAACAGATTTATTAAAATCTTTATCAGTTTTTATAACTTTTGAGATTAGTCAACTATTCAACTTTAATTGCCTTTTTCTCTGCAGTGGAGCTCCACAGTAATTGTTTCAGACAAGAGATCTTTGGCCCATCTAACCTTCCTGTTACAAAGTTGGGTAGACTACTTGTGAATTAGAAGGCAGGATGTTAGAATTTGTTTGTAGAAATGATACGGGGAAAGCGTGCACGGTCCCTTTAAGAGGTGATGTGCTTTTTTAAGCTTGGAGATAAAGCAGCTGCAGATGCACAGACAGTTCTGAAATTGAAACGTATGTATCAATTGGCTGCGTTATTGGCAACCTAGGTTTGTTTTGATGTTAAGGCAACCAGCTTGAATATCAGCCAATTAATTTAAACCAGGCCCGAGATAGCAAAACCCAATTAATTTTAAGTCTGATGGTGTTGACAACCTAGGACCAATCCTTTTATAAGAAAATTGACAGGTCATTAGGGGTATATAAGAAGGTTTTTGAAAATCAGGGTGAGAGCGAACTGCCATCAGAAGAGTAAAACTCTAGCTTTCAGACATCTTTAAGTTCTCTGATTAAGCACCATTTAAAAGGCACCATGGCACTCTTAGCTAATATTCCTGACAGAAGGATTTGACAAAGAAAGAATTCCTGACTGAAGAACAGTGGAAAAGGCATGGAACATTCCGGAAGACACATCCTGACTGTAGTTTTGAGAGTCTAAGTTTTAATTTATTTTTCTTATTACTTTGGTTTATATAAGTGAGACTTATAGTTATTGGAACAGCATGCTATTAGAATTTTGTTCTGTTCGGGAATATTTAGTAGTTAAGGGGGAATTGTTTGGCTTGTTAGTAGGTCTGTTAATTTTCTCACTGTTAGAGTTAGGTAAATAAATTGTTACTTGTTGCTTATAAAGTGAGTATCAGAGAGTTCATTTAACCATCTCCACCATAACATTCCTATCTAAATATTCCCTTTACCTCTTCTAAGACTCCTACCCATAGTTCTCCTTTCAGCCCACTTTACCATACTATCAATAGTTTTCTCTTCAGCCCACCTAACCCTCCTGGATTCTGAATTAACCTGAATCCACTGTTAATGTTAATCATTGCATTCCACCGCCTCCACGTTCCTGATCTCTGTTCTACATACACCACAATTTTAGTAATAAGGGATCCTTTTACATTTTCTCTTTGCTTTTGTTAACTTTCATTTTAACACACCAATATAGGAAACAGGAACAGGAGTAGGCAATCAGGCCCGTAAAGCCCACTCTGCCTTCAATAAGGTCATGGCTGATCTTTTCATGGACTCAGCTCCACTTACCCGCCCGCTCACTATAACCCTTAATTCCTTTACTGTTCAAAAGTCTATCTATCTTTGCCTTAAAAACATTCAACAAGGTAGTCTCAACTGCTTCATTGGGCAGGGAATTCCACAAATTCACAATCCTTTGGGTGAAGAAGTTCCTCCTTAATTCAGTCCTAAATCTCCCCTCCCTAATTTTGAGGCTATGCCACCTAGTTCTAGTTTCACCCGCCAGTGGAAACCACCTCCCTGCTTTTATCTTATTTATTCCCCTCATAATTTTATATGTTTCTATAAGACACTCCCTTATTCTTCTAAATTCCAATGAGTATAGACCCAGTCTAATCAATTTCCTCTCATAAGCCAAGACTCTCAGCTCTGGAATCAACCTCATGAATCTCCTCTGCAGCCTCTCCAGTGCCAGTACATCCTCTCTCAAGTAAGGAGACCAAAACTGTACACAGTACTCCAGGTGTGGCCTCACCAGCACCCTATACAGCTGTAACATAACCTCCCTGCTTCTAAACTCCATTCCTCCAGCAATGAGGGACAATATTCCATTTGCCTTCTTAATTACCTGCTGCACCTGCAAACCAACTTTTTGTGATTCATGCACAAGGACACCCAGGTCCCTTTGCACAGCAGCATGCTATCTTTCACCATTTAAATAATAGTCCATTTTGCTGTTATTCCTAACAAAATGGATGACCTCACATTGTAAGCGTGATTCCTTGTGTTTAAATTTTGAATGGGATAGAAAATCATGCTTGAGTCCAGCCTGTCCATATCATTCCAAATTTAAAACCTTTCCAACCATATCCCCACTTACTTTCCTCTTTTCAACTGAGAAAAATACAAGGTTAATCATGTTTTCTCACACATCATTCCAGTAAAATGTAGAGTTATTGGTTCAATACTTCTCAGTATCCCAACAATTGAATTTTCAGCCCCATTATCCCAATAACTGAACATTCTCTCCCATACTCCCAAAAACTGAATATTGTGTCCTATATTCCCAATAACCGAATATTCTATCTCACATTCCCAATGATTGAGCATTCTGCCCTGTATATTCCCAATAGTTGAACATTCTGTCCTCCATATTCCCAATAATTGAACATTCTGTCCTGTATTCCCAATAACTATGCCTGCACCCAATAACTGAGAACCTTTCTCTCCAACTTTGTTTAATAATATTCCTATGAAGTGCTTTGGGCTGTTTCATTGTGTTAAATGAGCTATATAAATATAAATTGCTGCTGCATCCCGGTAAATAAAGATCCTCTCTATCTGAATCTGCTCCAACAATGAAACATTCTTCCTGAAATAGGGTATCCAAATCTGCAGGCAGTGGTGGTCTTCCCCAAACCAACTGAAATGATATGTTACAATACCCACAACAATACCCAATATGTTGTTTGTTTAAACACTGCAGTGCAATAGTGACAGAATGCTGGACTGTCTGATATGTTGTTCCCTGAGGTGAGATATCGAACTGAGATCTACCTTACCCCTCTAGGTGGGTGTAAAAAATTCTCTGGTACTGTTTCAAAGCGCAAGATAGTTATCCCAAGTGTTCTGATGAACATTTATCTGTGAATCAACACCAATAAAACAGATGACATGGTTATTATCACACTGCTGTGTTGTGGGAGCTACCAGTGCGCAAACTGACTGCCATATTTCCCTTGTTACAGCAGTAAAACTAACTCACTCACTGTGAAGTGCTTTGGGAAGTCTTATGGTAATGAAAGTTTCGGTGTAAATGAAAGTGGCTTTAATTGGGCACTTAACTTAATCTGGTCATACAATACACGCATGTGATAACACAGGACAGCCACTATGGAAATAATACTCACTCCTTATAAAATATGATAGCTACTGTATTAAAAGTCTTACATGTGCATTGATAAATTGTAGTCTCAGACTTATAGATACTTTGGTTTCCATACAATGGGTACAACCAAAGAAACTTTACGACACAGAGGCCATTCAGCCTATTCTGTCTTTGCTGGTCAAGAAGGCAGCTATTCCAGTTAACCCTGTTATAACAGCGATGAGATGCCTGGCTACCGATCACTAGTGGCTTGTGGTTTAGGTAGATTTATTATATCTTATAAATGAAAATAGATTACATGAACTCTTCAGCATATTAACTATTTCTAACAAGTGATAGGGAAGACTCAAGTGTGTCCATCAGTGGATCATGCCAATGTCCAATTAACCCCCGGCTCTGTTCAGTGGTTGCATTCAATATCAGACTGGGTGGAGCTTCAGCATAGCCCATTCATTAACTCTTCCTTGACTATTATCTTCTACAAAAAAATCCCACCTCCACCTTTGATTCATAGTGCTTCAAGTGCATATTCAGGTATTTTTCAAGTGGGATGATGGTTTCTGTATCTCTCACCCTTACAGGCCGATGAAAATATTTCTCATCAGCTCCCTTGCAACCTTCTACCAATTACATTAAAACTATATACACTTGTTATTGACATCTTTGATAAGGGAGAATTAGAGCTTCCTATCCAGGCTCCTCAAAATTTTACACACCTCAATTAAATCTCTCCTCCACATAAGCAATCTTTCCTCGTTGCTAAAATTCTTCAATCCCGACAACTAGGGGGTGGTGGTGGCATAGTACTCCAGTAACTCCAGAGGCCTACGCTAATGCTCAGGGGACATGGGTTTAAGTATGTTCACGGCAGCTGGTGGAATTTAAATTTATTTAACAATATTTGGAATATAAAGATAATCTCAGTGATGGTAACCATAACAACTACCATCCATTGCTGTTGAAAACCCAAGTGATTCGCTAATGAGTGAAATCTGCACTGCTGGCCTATGTGACTCCAGGCCTACAGCAATGTGGTTGACTGGCCCTTCTTGGGGGTGGAAGCAACTCAGTCAATGGACAGTGAGAGATGAGCAACAAAGTCTACCCTTGCCAATGCACCCATATTCCCATTCTGAATAACTGGTCTGTAAGCTCTCTAGTACAATCAGGTACTTTCTGTCATGCCCAGAACTGACTCCATCATGTTTTCTACAGTTCAAACATAAGCTCCCTGCACAGCCAATAAAGAAAAATATCTTCAATTTTTTCTTTATCATTTCTTCATATCCACCCATCCTGTTACCTTCAGGGATTTGTGCACACACATTCAAAGTTAAACTGTGGCAATTTCCACCAGGGATTTACCAAGCTGACAGCTAAAATTGGCAGATTCCTATTGAAGCAATTAGACCAGGTATCTCCCTCCCAACATTGTAATGCCAGGAAGAGGAGCACATGAGGTGAGGACATTACTGGGTTTGGCCAAATAGAGCTGAATTTTGCAGGGCAATGCGTATATTTCCCCCAAACTAGTTGGTGTGCTGGTATGCCACCACAGCCCCATCTCTGGGTTAATTTGAGGGAGGTTGCATTAGGCAGTGGCAAATATCCAGTTAGGACAGTCTCAGATGGTAAGTGGGCTATCACTGAGAATGAAACCCAACGGCAGACCGGGGGAATGGTGAGTTTAGAATTTAACACCCTGAAATTGAAAGCTAATCTCAATAT